GCACCATCCTGTGTCCATTCCACCTCCCGGTGACCTGCCACCTTTGAATATGCCTCGTTCCGCTGGCGACTATTACATGGGGAATGGATCTATCCCTCCTCATGTTCGGGGGGATTTCTCGCAGGCCAGCCCTCGCTCCTCGCCGACAGCCACGTCACCGTCTCTCTCGAGCTTCAGCAGTGCGCCACACCAACGACCATCTATGACATCGCACCCCTCCGGATACGCTCCCCCTCAGCCGCTTGAGCCGCCTGCTAATAGTGATCACCGACCCAACAGCGTCAGCGGGAGTCCGCACATGACGAGTTTGGGCTGGGCCTCGCCCTCTCACGGTAGCATTCCGTCTCCGGGGTCTGTGAATGATTTCAACTATCCTGAGCCAAGTGGTCCGGCTTATCCCAACTCCATGCCTCCCCACATGTACTTTCCCAACTCGACCATTAGGCGGCCAACGAGCACTGAGCCTGAGAACTACGAACTGAAGCCAAGATTGGGGGACAACGGGTGGTCCACTCCCGTGTAATGCGTGAATTTCCGCATTTGACAGCAGTCATCTACTACCCGCATTTGGTTCGATCTTATCGAATCAATTCCTAGCTGCGCAACGAAATGGCACTTGCGCACGGAATATTCGCTTTTCCTTTGTCACTTGTTCCCGTCTGGCTTTTCCCCCTTGTATCCCTAGCAGAAGCTAAATGGCGCTGCATCATTTTTTTTACCCCGCCTCCTTTTGTCTTGTTTTTGCTCATATCCCCTCATCATCATAATCATGCTTTTGCCCTTGCGGATTTGTTTTCTTCCTCTTCACGGTTACTTTGCATTGATAAGGCCTTGCATACGCGCGCTGGGAGGAGTCCGGACTAGCTCTGATTTGTGTTCTCTATTCGTTTCTTTCTGTTTAATGTGTGACACGACCAGGATGAAGCATCAATAGAGAGCTGGATGGCTCATGGCTAGGTAGGACGGGGTTCAGGAATTCGGGTATCTGTTTTCTATCTGTGGTTGTCATCGACATTGGTGATCATCTTGCGCGCTTTCAATCCCCTTGCATCACCCCTATACCTAATTTTGTTTGTGTTGTTGATACATTATTCCCCCTATCGCTTGTCTCGTTTTTACCCCTCGAATTTCCTTTGTATCTTTTCCTTTGTCAAAGAATCAACACAGGAACCTTGTAAATGAGCATTAGACAATTGTATGTATGATAGAAGCATATTAAATATCGAAGGCTGCCGGATGGCTTTTGAGAGATGGAGAGATAATAACAAGATCCTGGGCGCCTTAATAAATCATAGCAGTCAGTGCGGAGAAATCGGATATATGGATGTTGGTCACGGCGTCATGGAAAACCTGCATAATGCTGACTCAGGCAAATTGGAAACAAGACGACTAGGAATAATGCGTCCCCAGCCCAGTTACATTCATATCGAACACACCCTGCGCAGGACACGAGCAGGTAGCCGGATTCGAAGCGCGAGAGAAAAGTAAGGCGCCAAACGAAGTTGAAGAGGCGTTCTTTTCGCGGGCCGAGAGGAGACCAAAGCGGAGGAAGACCTCGGAGGTTGTAACGACGATGGAGATAAGGATGAGGACGATGATGATCCAAGTTTGATCTAGTGCAGCCGATTAGTCTGGAAGTCAGTCAGATGGGTTAAACTGTGGGGAGGACGCACGAGATGTTCTGTTATCGGCGATGGAGTCGGAGAGAATCTCCGCGAGGTCGAGGAAGACTCGGCATCGTTCGTTGAGGACTTGGATCCGGGGTTTGATCTCGAGGTATTCGCGGACGGCGTTGTAGAGCGGGTAGAGAGTTGGTTCGCTCTCCCAGAAGAAGTTGGGTACGTCGAGCATGTTGGATGCTATTGCAGAGTGTGCTTGTTAGCCTGGTAGGGAATGATGTGGGTTGGTTGAGGAAAAGAGCTGGTGTTGAAGTACTACTGGGATGGACTTACAGAGATTGACTTCTACGCGGCTTTTGAAAAGCTTGCCTAGGATACGGAAGACTTCTTCGCGCTTCATGCCCAGCTTGCCCGTCATGGCGAGTCTGCGCGGGACGTCCTTCGCCTCCGCCATTTGGCGCGCCATGACTTCTTCAAAGAAGCAGAGCTTGGTGCTTTGCGCGATGCCGTGGCTGATGGCTAATTTGATCATGTGGTCGCCGCTGCGCAGAGTGATCATGTCGTTGAATACCCGAGGCCGTGAAATTTCGGTCGAGTATTCGAAGTGAAATTCTTCTGTTTCAAAGTCCTCTTCATCCAAGGGCATGGTTGCCAGTGGTATGCGGGATCCTGTAGTAGAGGAGTTTGCAAACGCCAGATCGGCTAGGAGATCCTTTTCCTGTCTCTCTGTCAGGTTCCAGAAAACCACTACGCCGTAGCTGAAAACAAACATCTCTGCGACATCGTACGGTAGGCGCGCGGGCGCTGTTGAGGCAGGAGATCCTTGGGTTGGCAGATGACCAGGGACTGAGACTCTGCTGCTATCCCTCCCCGTATCGCTTTCAGAATGATGTAGGTCCTCGTCGAACTTGTTGATCAATGTGCCATCGAGCACCAATGATTCGCTAACATCGTGCAATGAACTATGTCTTTGATGGTGACCCCCGACAGAATGCTCCTCTGCTTCCATGACATAGTCATCATGATGGTCGCGAAGCTCGTTCCTCTCAATTTCCTCATCCAAAAGAGATTTGCCTCCGGGTTTCTTCACCATCGGACTGCTTCGCACCCGATAGCCCTCAAGACCAGGTAACAGCGGTAAATGGTACGCCGTATACAGGCAATCATCGTACAGCTTAGTCCGTCCGCCATGCTTGTCCTTGACAAATGCCGCCAACGAACTCATCTTGTAAGCCTGCGCCGTGCAATAAGCAGTAACACGCGCCAACTTTTCCGCACGACGGGCCTTGGGTAGCCGCTCTGCGTAGGTTTTGGCCTTTTCCGGGGCGACTTTGCGTCGATGCAGCAGCTCTTCTTCGGCCAGCAAAGGAGCAATGTCATTGTCGACGCCGAAATCACCCCCAAGCCTCTTTTGTGTCAACAGTCTCTGTCGTAAAGAATCGGGATCCAGATTCCTCTCCTTGGCCAGTCTCTGCACGAACTCCTCGTCCACCTCGTCTTCTTCCTCCTCGTTCAGATCCCCTTCCACTCCCTCCGCTTCCGGTAAAAGGACGAGCTTCTCGCTGACTTTCGTCGTGCGCGGAGGTAAACGTGGTTGCGCGGCAAGTCGACCCATCGTTGCTGCGGTGTTGGCCAGCCTACTTCCGCTTCCAATAGGACCAGAGCCACCAGCACTACTTCCCGCACCGATCAATCCGCCAGCTGCAGACGCTAGACGAGAGCGTGGCCGTGGTTGTGTCGTGGTCGGGGGTGGACCACGCTGTTGCATGGAGGGAACGTCGGAAGCGTATTGAAGGACATTATCGACGGTGATAAAGCGTGTACCAGGGGCACGACGAACAGGTTGAGGTTGTTGTTCGCGCGAGTCTGTGACCTATTACTCCGTGTAATCCCATTAGCATGCCGTATAGGATAGGAAGAACCTAATATGCGATGAAAGGAAAGCTCACCAGCACGTGGGGGCTCCTCTGGCCGGGCACTCGTCCACGGGCAGGAGACATGATCAAATCGATTTGCCGTTAATATTCTGTCGCGATATCAACTTCGATGCCCAAAGGCCTCCTTGACCGTGTTCCCTCGAATGAGAGTGCACTCGCAGGCCCAGGTAGTGCCTCAGGTTCTGGTCTCCGATTGCAGCGAGTCTTCGAGACTAATCGAAACTCGGGCAAAAAAAGGAGATTTAAATCAACATATCCACAATCTCAGCAATCTCAGAGCAGACAATCAAAATCTGCACCATACTCTTGACTCAGATAGCGACAAGATTAAAAGCAACGAACCAAGCCAGTCACTTGAGGTAGTTGATGCACAAACTCCGACCTTCAAAGCTTCACCTAACCTCTCCCACCGCCTATTGAATAAAACGGTCCTAGGCCTTTTTCAGACTGGCTTCAACGAAGAATGACGTCGTCCAGCCCGTAATTTGGTGTATCTTACCAAAATTACCGTGAAAAACGCCGTAACGAATACCTAGCAATACAGTCAAATACCAATCCCGGACTTTCGGCCAGCCACGTGCGCTACAGTGGAGCTAGGCCCAGTATGGATTAGTGGACTGGCTCTAGGTTGATCCGGGGTAATAGTAAGTTCCATGTTTCTCGTATTGGAATGAAACTTAAAGACGCCGGGCTGGACTCAAAAGGGCCGTGGAAGAGGTCATGTGAAGTACAGATGGCGTGGGACAATCTTTCAGTTGAGAAAGCCATGAAATACACGGTGATGAGAGCATTGATTTAAAAGCGGAAGAAAAGTAATGAATCTGACGAACAATGATGGAAAGGCTAGACGGAGGGGTAACAATGGAAGGATTCCTGAATAACCCGGAATCGCAGTCCCGAATTGGGACCGAAACGGATTAGATGCAGTAGTCTGAAGCCACAAAAATACTTTGGTGATTATGGTGTTGAGTAGAAGAGCAAAAGAAGGGGGCAGGAACCATCAAGAGAATAGCATCAGAAAACCGGCTGAGGACCTTTTTTTACATCTGGAAATAACTTCATACTTCTATTCGATTCTAACAATAGTCATTGTATTGAAGGTCCGCGCCTTGCAGGAACTCCTTGCGTGACAACAATGCTCTTTTGTCTCAATTACATGCATATGCTTTTGCAGCACGATATGATAGGCCTCAGAAATGCAAATATACAAAAACGAAAATAAAAAGCAGAGGCCTGGAGAGGAAGTATTATCACAACGCCTTGAAGCATGATAAAAAAAAAAAAAAAAAAAAACCTAACTTGCTTCACTATGCTTCCATATGCAATAAGCTGTATGAAGATCTGAGGCTTGCAAAAAATGGCATCTCAAATGTCAGACACCTGTGTCTGACTTGAGTAACAATGTTTAATCAATATGCAAAGGACATCGAATGGCTCCGGGCCTTTAGAGACCATCCCGGAGTCGTCCGTGCTCGTCCCAGATTTCCTTCTTCATTCGTTGTAGACGAATATGCTGTCGTTGTAATCGCTCCAACTCCGCCCGCGGTGGGTCTGGATGCGAAGCCATGGAATCATGTAGTGCACGATACTTGGCGTAGTACTGCTTGAATTTCTGCGACTTCTCTCGTAATTGCTGGCGCAGTATCTCACGGCTGAGAGGCGGCGACGCGCTCCCAGTGCTGCCACTCGAAGTACTGACTGCCCGCCTCCGCTTGTGTTCTAGGTTGCCGGTTGTGCGGCCAGTCGTCTTGGACTGAATTGCAGATGGCCGGTCTGTCTCTGCCTTGCGCTTCAAAGGATTCACAGGCCCCGTTGTCTTAGCAACTCCGTTGGTCTTGATCGCTCCAGTCGACTGTGTGACCTTGTTCGGTTTGGATAACTGTGAGATAAGAGGAGAGGACGAGGAACTAGAGGTATTGTTTTGACTCGAAGAACGACTGCGACTTTGGGCATCCGATGCATTGGCTGGGGGAGAGGATCCGAGAGGCGACGGTTTTTGAGGTGATCTCTGGTTCGGTGCTCGGTTGGACGGCGGCCTCTTTGCAGCGACAGACTTGATGGAATTCTGAGAGGTTGATTCGGCTTTGGAAGGCGGGGCCTCGGACTGATTCACCTTGGACGTCGACGCATGGGAGGGATCTCCGACTTTGCCCGGCGCAGTCTGTTTGGGTTTAGGCTGGACCTTCGGTTGCTCTGGCTTCGCCTTCTCTGGTGCTGGTGCGGGCACCGGTGCATCCAGCATGTCTGTGTCATCTTCGTCTGATTCCTGAACAAATTCTGCCGATTTGAATTTGCCGTCCGTCTTCGATGCTGGTTTCCGCTCCGCCTTCTTGGTGACCCGTCCCGTCAGCGTGCTATTCGTGGAAGTCTTGCTCTTGGTAGGATTTGCTCGTTTTGTAGAAGAATCTTTGTCATTGGCCCGTTTCTTCGGAGCTGGCGCGCCAGATTTGGGAGCTGGCTTTGGAGTCGGGCCATTGGCACTGGCCCTATCAGTCTCGTGACCGGTCGTATAGCCATCCTTTCCGTTGTCGTCAGATGCATGCACTTGAATTTTTGGAGTAAGAGCCTTTTTAATAGGCCCTGTCCGCAGGTCCAATCGCGACAAGCACTTGCCCTTGCCGCGTTCTTCTTTGGGGAGCAACATTTGCCAGAGCTTATCCGAGCGCGATATCCGCATCCGATCAAACGCCGATATGGCATTTTCGATAGCTTCTTGCCGCTCCTCCTGGGAAGGGTATGGGAAATTCCATACGTCCAGTTCTTTGTAAGTCTTGTCCCTAAGATCGAACTTTTCAGGGTCAATCCGGTTTTCGATGCCGTATTTCCGAGCCAGAGCTGAGCAGTCTTCAAGGGACGATCGCGTTTGGCGTGCGAGAAATTTGGCAGAGACAACACGCACGGCGAGAAGATGAATGAAAGGTACTTTGAGGGCATCGAGGCGAATGCGGTCCTTGTTTTGGGAGGAGGGTGCGGATGTCGGAGTGAGCGGCGGTATCGGTGCTGGAGAGCGAGACACGCCAAGGGCTGGGCTCGAGGATAAAGAACGGTTGGCGGTATTCTTGAGGAGACGTTCTTTCTCTATTTCCACCTTGGTTGTCGGCTTTCGAGCCAGGATGGCAGCCTCTCTACCGGTGCTGGACCTGAGATCGCCCGCTCGCAGAGCTTTGACTTCATCAATGCTCGTAATCATGTGTGTTTTCTTTGATTCCTTCCCTCTTTCAAAAGCATTCAGGCTCTGCTCAAGGTTCGCCAAAGCCTGATCAGTGGCCGCGGTGGCCTCTTTGGCCCTTTGAACCTCTAACCTGTGACTCAGAATGCCTGCGAAGTATAAGTTCTCTTTGTCGGTGGAGCTAGCGGCGTAGACCTCGGATCGGTGAATTTCGGGTGCGGAGTGAAATTGCTGCGTTTTGGAGCCGTAGTACAGGGTCGGGTGTTTGCCTAATCGAATTCGAGCTGTTTGATCTTTCCGTAAGCTCTGTATGAGTTCATCAAGAGTACTCTGAGCCAGATTCAGTCGCATGACGGGAGGCGGTTTGGCAGTGGCATTGTCTCCGGGGTTGTCTCTTAGTAGAGACAACCCAGTTTCGGGAACGTCGAGAGCAGACATGGGGAACTGTCAGAAAGTAAATTGATGTACGAAGGGCCGATACGTCCAGACTTCGGAGGCAGGAGAGGGATTGGTAGGGTGAGCGGTTGCGAGATCGGGAACAGAGGCGGACGGCAGCGTGGAAGCTGCAGGTTAGCGGCCGAATGCAACAAAGGACGAGGTAAGACGATACGCCATAGATCAAAGCGACGATTGACAATGGAGAAGACAAAGGGGAATTTGCATGTCAGAGAACAAAGAGCAATCGGGAGTCACCAAAACCCATGGCAGAGGGAAGGGTTGGTGGTGAAGTTGTAGTAGAGGAGAGAGCGGAGGAAGGAAGGGAAAAAGAGAGAGAGTGGAGGGAGGAGAGACCGATGAGATGGGACGATGCCAAATGAGCCAGGCTGAGCAACGAGTGTTTAATTAATTAGGCGGACTTGAAGCGGAGGACAAAAGCGACGAAGAGGAAAAGAGCGAGGAGAAACACAGTGAATGAGTGGGGAGAGCAAGCGGTATCACTCAGAGTACCCTTTCTGGGCCAAGTTCGAGCCCGGATGATAGTGCCAGGCCCGCTGAAGGTTGTTAACCCAATCATTCAGAAAGCTAATGAATGAGGATGGAGTCCATAAAGCTAGGTAATTTTCATACCTAATAAGCATGATACTCCGACTATTATTAATTAGTAGAACAGTCTACTTCTACCTACTATCTAGTGTATTTTTCAGTTTCTTTCCCCTGCTAAGTACGGAGGGAGTATTTCTCTTCAATATTCTCTTTAGCCACCACAGCAATGGGCTTTACGTCGTATAGAAACAAAGGTGTGGCAAGTCAGGGCCGGACAACAAAGTCGTCATCACGAGCATTGGAGATAACGGCTCCCATTGGATGCCTGTGTTACTCAGATTTTCCTGGGCCGCATTGATCCTAAGGTACAGAAGCAGGTGGCAGAGGTAGGTACATAACACATACAAAAGCCTGTTGGAAAGATAATCAGAAGGGCAGACGCATGGGAGCCGATAGTACCTTTGGTCTGATGATAGTCAAAAGGGAAAAATGGGCACTGTAAGCTAGTCATGATTGGTGTACTCTCCACGACTCGTTCAGAAATGGTTAAACAGATGGTAGGGCAGTCTGGGTAGGTAGGATTGTTGGTCAGCCTTGAGGTTCGCATTTAGATTGCTGTACAGAGGATAATCTGCGTAAGGCACGTACGCCATGGTATGTAACGTTACCACGGTTCAACTTAAGGTAGGTATGGTAAGGTATCTATCTGCTGTTCTTGAGTGCCTTGGTAAATATTGATTGACAATTATTATGATACTTCGAACAGTTTCTGCTTTCATTTCGTGGTATAAAGTTATCCCTTTCAATACTTCATAGTACCTATACTCCATTGACTTGAATCTCTTCCTTATTTATGTTTCTATTTTTGTCCATTTTCTTTTGTCAGCGTCAAAGTGGCTTTGACGCCTTGAAACAATGCATATAAGGTAAAATGTACCTAAGTTAATCTGTATTGAGTATGAATACGGAATACCATTCAAACAGCGTAAACCAAGAATAATTACGGATGACGGAACTGCTTGTCTGGACAACGCTACGGACGCTATCTTACGCCATGGCCATGCCCACCTGTGGCCCCCACCATAACCAGGATCACTGGGACCGCTGGGTGACAAGAATGGATCCACCATCTACTCCAAATCCTCCAGTAACAATCATTTGTGCATCCATCGATCCTTGACGGACCATTCTGTTCGTTGTCTCTTATTCATATTATTATAGACTGCGAAGGATCTGGTAATAAGTAATTGAGTAGAGAAGATAGTCTACGCTCTTCACTCCGTTCCTCCGGTCTTCTGGCAGGGGAGGGCAGATTTCGTATGCCGAGGAGAGAATACGAAGCGGAGTACAGGATAAGTACTGTAGGTACAGTATAGCCATGGACCGGTGACAATTTGACTTCCATCAATCACTCTCGGTAAAGTAATACAGACGCAGTTCGAGAGGGGAAATCGTGCAGAGAAAGTTTATTAAATGAGGCAATATTACCTGAAGAATTGTTGCATGATTCTGTCTTCATTATTGTATCAACTTAGCGATCCAAGGAGAAGTCATTTCAAGCTCTCTGGTCACTATGAGAAACCAGGAAATCCTCTCTTTCTCTGGTTGATTCTGGAGATTGAGAAGTCAATCAGTTACATCACTTTTGCTGCTGACGGTGAACTCCTGACCTCCCGTGCGATTCCCGATTCTTCCTAGTTGAATACCAAAGGGTACCGCCCGCGATCAGCGTTGAAGGGCTGGTTCAGCTTGATGGTCCTCCGTAGATCACCCGTCCAGACCAACGGCGAGTCTCGATCTTTGCTCTCTCACTCTCGCCCTGTTCCTCTTTGCTCATCTGTATTACTTGATACTACAGATTATTACTACTACCCGCGCGACATCACTTCCCCACAAGTCCAGGATAAGGTAATGGAATGCAAGGCAGCTCCGAGTATGTAGTTTGGTGGACGTGCCTCGACAGCCACAAAAATGTACTTCTTGTTCCCATTGAATTATAACTGCCAACAAGGTATATGTAATTGGACCGCAACGAAAATGCACATACATAAGGCAAGGTAGCGCGTATCAACCATATTGAAAATAATGATGATGTGCAATGATCCGATCCTCAATAGCCGGCCGGGATCTAACCGAAACAGACCAACCTGATGGTCTCTCAGCACTAGCAATTCCATTGGTTGGGAGGTGTTCCTTGACTTCCTGGTCGTTCTGCTTGTGATCATACTGTCACAACCTTGTGTGGTGGAACACCAACAGCTTCTGAGGTTGCGGACATTGTGTATGAATGGATATTATTATCTACCGTACAAAGAAGGTACTTTACGGTAGGTTGAAACAATCCACAACCGTTGGACGGGACCGCCTTGTTAATTCCATGGAGGGATGGGTGTGTCTACCATCCTTATAATGGCGTTTGAGGCGCACAATACCTGCTGCGAGATGGATTTCTTGCTTGACGCTGGTATCCAAATTTCCGCAGCTGCATTTCCGATACCATTAGGTTCAAGCTAGGTGTTGGAATGACTGTGACAGCGAATCGGACACCCAAAAGGGAAAAGGCAGTGGAAGTTGGAAGTAGAGCTTAGTAAGCAGTACATAGTGCCTTGTAAGCTCACAGATGGTGGTCATGTAGTAGCAGAACACGCAGTTTGGCTCTAGTTACAATGATGGGAATTCAATACGCTGTAGGGCCAGTCTACGATAGGGTCGTCTGTCTATTATTTGCGCCAGTCAAGGAGGCTGGGAATTTGTCATGCCGATTAGACTACTCCAGAATCTATCAGCAGGGAATGAGCTAGGACCCCGAATCAGGTTTCTCCATGACAGTCTCAGCGATCGCCTTACAAGGAGTAACTTCGGCCATAGATACAGTCCAGAACTTGTTACATCTTTGGCATGCTTTCTCCATTATGCCTTATCCAACGTAGCATAACAAACAGCGTTCCTCTTCGTGTTATTCATTTGCGTGACAGTCGTCCACGTGTTTCTCGGCCTCGGTTTCCGGAGACGCTTAGTTGGCTAGCGGAAAAAGCGTGCAAAGAAAGAGAGGAAGTGACTCAGGAATGGACGAGGCCCGGGGTTAGACAACTCAGCTCGGTTTTGCCACTGCGATATACTGAACTGTACAGTTGGACGTAATCTCCTCGTAGATAGAGGGGTAGGCTATGTGATTCACATAGGAAATATCACTGGGGAATTTACCGGAGTCCGTGGACAATTTAGAGCACGTAGTGCAACCTTGAATATGGCATGTACCGACCGCGAACTAGTAAGGCAGGCCCCGGCCCAAGTTTTATCGCTGAAGTGCAGAAAAACATCTGCTTCAATGCTTAAGGTAGTTTGTACTATATATCGTGACTGATTGGCTGGTTTGGTCATCTCATCTAGGTAGTCTACACCTCAATAAATGAGGTTATCTCTCTCTTCCGGAACTGATGGCTGGCTGGAAGGTCGATCATTGGTGGGTCCTATGAGAGTCAGGCACTCTGAGCAAAGTCGACACGTCAAGATTGTTCCAGTAAAGAAGTACCTCTCTAGTCTACCTCTTGAATTTACTAGTGGATACGATAGAGTTCTATCACAAGTGCTGAATCTCATATCACCTAAAGCCATGATATTCGACGTCTACAAAGGGAGAGCTAACATATAGAGAGAGATATTTTTTCGCACGCTACTCTACCTCTTATGGCTGATAGAATAGTACCAGGAGTAAGAACCCCCTATGCTTGGAAGTAGGTCCACATTTGTACTCACACCTGATTCAGGAAATTCCTCATTCAAAAGGTTCCCTGAACCAAGTGGCCCTGAGGTCTCCATATCAGTGTATTCCGTCTCCTCCCATGAATGAACTATTTAGTTGCCCCTTTACCCCTGTTTCAACTCAATTCAATTCTCATGTGCTATCTACTCCGTAATAGTCAACAAACTGAAGGATTCTCTGCTAGTTTTCTGGAAGTTCAACAATTCAAGTTACTTCTAAAATTAACCACTACTTCGTTGTACTTTCTGAACCATAGCCCGGCCTGATCTGCAAGATTTCAAGACACCCAAGCCTCAGTGCTGAATGCACCTCAGTATTCTATCCTCTCTTGGGAATAGATACCGTACTACCTTAGTAGCGCATCCATTAATTACGCCCAACTAAGAGCCGTAGAAAACATGGAATAATAAGGCACTAAGGCGAGACATCTCGGTACCTACTTAGGTAGTAGATACTCGGTGGATATCGGGCAACTGAGAATTGCGCAGCCGCGCTACGCTCCAACTGCTCAGCTAGGAACATAGTTCTTGTTTCGCAATCTCGATCTCTACCGAATAGAGCAACCATCACGATGTCAATCCAGATCTTAAAATGGCATTGCTGCTATTGCATCATTATGAATGGGCTTTGAGTGGTAACGATCCTTACCTACCTTACAGGGCAGACCCCGGTATAGTGGACGGGTAACATG